ATAGAAAGATGTTTGTTGTTATATGGAAATACTTCATGCAGCACTAATAACACGCCTTGGCCAATCTATATGCATAATTTCTATAAGTTATCAGACCATTAGGTTAAACACTAACAACTGCGCTGCAAACCTGGACCTGCAGGGCAAACACTGATGTTAGCATTAGCATGTAGCTCCTAACCAGTTAACCAGTGCACAATAATAAAATAAAAAATAAAAACAAACAAAGTGGATCAAGCCGATCTTTCTGCTGCACACACACAGAGGTTAATCCGATGATCTGATCCATTTTAAACTCACCGTTTATCAGCTTCATTAACAGCAGGAACCGCTGCTGCTGCTCTACTTGGTGACGGACTGATTTCAGTGTTACACAGCTTTAAACTAGAGGGTGCAGTTCTGGCTACTCGCCACTAGAGTTCTCCCTACAATACATTTTAGACCTGGATCTCCTGCATTTTCAACTCATGTATTTAATAAAACCTTAAGGTGAAGAATTAAGACACTTTACGGTCATTATTCTGCTTTAATCATTAAAATGAATTGAGGCACGTGGCTCAGAGTGCAGCATACAGGTCATATATGAAAACATTTCAAGTAAAAATAAAAATAAACCATTCTTAGACAGTGGACTAAGTTTATTAGAATTATTGGCAGTAAAAAAAAAAAAAGGTCAGTACTTAAACCCTGTATCCGGATCCATTGCTAATCTGTTTTGGTATTGATAATAAAAAAACAGGTGTTGTTTGCATATTTTTGCTTTTGTATATTTTTTATTTGCACATTATTAGTTTTTTACGACAGTAAAAGTGAAGTAAAAGTTAAGAGACGGGTTGGTTAAAAGGTTAAAACAAAAAATTTGAGATGCCACCAAAAAAATCAACTCTTCGTTAGACATAGAGAGCTTTTTCAGTTAAAAATAATAACAGATTGTAGGTTTATACAAACATAGTTAGTTCTTCTTTACTAGTTAAACAAATATGGGCTTCTAAGAGGACCATGACTCTCAGCTACAGGGTAAAATGTTTTTATTGAACAGACAGAATCAGACTGCAGAGCTTCTACAGATCTGGAAATGTTGTTTCTGGCATCATTATATTATTAAAGAGGTTCATAAATCTTTTTAAACAGAGAGAAGTAGGGAGAGCTGCAGGTTTCAATGGGAAACAGATTTACTGGGATATACAACATGCTAGAAAATATATCTCCAAGTTTAACAGAAAGTTTACAAGAAAAAAATATGCTATATTTAAAATGCAGCAAATCCATATTTTTCTGGATCAATGGATGGAATTCAAATTGTACTTCTAGGGATGCATGATTTATCGATTTTAGCATCGGAATCGGCTGTTATTCATTTATACATTAATGTTTTTGGGCCCTATATATATAAAGCACTAAAAGGCATGTCTCTAACATCTATAAATATAAAGAAAATAGTTCAGAGAATTAATATAGATGATGCAATTATGCAGTTTTTGGTTTGGTGTCATCAGTGAGATGCAGAGTCTATGATTTAGAGTTTATTCAGCAGTTCATCAGTGTGATGGCGGTGGGGAAGAAGCTGCTGCAGAACCTGCTGGTCCTGCATTGAATGCTGTGAAGCCTCTTCCCAGAGGGCAGCATGGTGGGGGGGTGGGGGGTCATTGATGATGTCACGGGACACGCAGCGCTGGGATGAAATGTCTTTAATGGAGGGAAGAGGAGCCCCCATGATCCTCTCTGCTGTTCTCACCTTCTTCCAGTCTGAGGCGCTGCAGCCTCCACACCACACAGTGAGACAGCTACTCAGAACGCTCTCTATGGTGCTTCTGGAGAAGGTGGGGAGGATGGGGGGGGCAGAACGCTCTCTATGGTGCTTCTGGAGAAGGTGGGGAGGATGGGGGGGGCAGGTGGGCTCTCCTCATCCTCCGCAGTAAGTCCAAGCGCTTCTGGGCCCTTTGGACCAGTGAGGTGGTGAGGAAAAGATGTTTTTTCTCTTCTCCTGACTGGTTTCAGCAAGAGTAGCCTGGCTTGTGGTTGTGTTTTCGTCGTCGCTCTGTTAGTACGTCATATGCTTCGTGATCTGATTGGTTTATTTGACCCGTCTATCACCACCATAGGCCAATCAGCTGACCAGTATTTTCGCCCCTTCCCAAAATTACTTCAACGGAAGGTTTCCAGATGGATATGCGGAGCAAATCCATCTGGCGGAGTCAGGTTACCAGGAGTCAGGCCAGTACACTAGGAGATGTAGAGGAGGCCATAGGAGGGCTTCAGCAGGGCCGCTACCTCTGCCTTTATGCAAGGAGGAACAGAAGGAGCACTGCCACCGCAAACACTGCCAGAGGGTTTTAAGGCTGCTTTTTCATCAAACATTAACATCTTTAAGTACGTCAAAAATACATTAATAACATTAATACTTCTTTTTTTAAATCTTCCCGTGAAAATGTTATATCAGTGTGGGCATCACCCTCTAGATTTTCAATAAATGTGTGCCTGCTAGTTTTTCACTGCTCTTGTTTGCACATACCTCTCATTACATTTCTTGGTTGATGGCCTATCAGAGTCCATATCCATTCCTCTTAAAGATGCAAAGTGGCATTCAAAATCTTTCATTCCCCGTGACATGGCGTATTTATCAAGCTTCTATCCTACTCCTGCGTCGCTGGATGACTCCATTTTGATGCAGCCTGTCACCAGTCTAAGATCATACCCCCCCTCCCCCCTGCTGCTTGTTATACACACTCACTAATCCTTCACCATGCAAACGTGGTGATCCTCCTTGAACCGCCTTAACGGGTTTCAGTGCCCAGATGATCCCAGAAACCATGTTGTTCTCATTGTTAGCTTCTGGGTAAAAATTAAAGAGTTAATTTAATACTAGGAAAGAAAGAAAGAAAGAAAGAAAAACTTCAGTACTATCATATCTGTCAGACGCACTCAATCAACCCCCCCGCCTACACAGTTTGACAAAAGAAAGTAAGAAACAGGAAGTCATGGCTTCCTGTGACTATTTTTGTACATCTACTGGCAAGAAGAAAGAATAACTGTATTCCTATAGATAAAAAAAAAAAAACATAGTAATTTAACAATGTTTACAATAGAGACTAAAACCTTTTCAGCAGCGATTAGTGTTTTTAGCTGCTGTGTTTTCAATGCTTCTCAGACTCTTTAGCATCTTTTTTTAATGTAGCAGGTCTGGACCAGGAATTTAAACATGATATTCTTTCCTGCCAACGGATTTCTCACTGTTCAACATGAAAACATTTTGTTTTCTGCAAATCTCCTCACTTCCACAGTCAGCTCCTTCAAAGCACAACCTGCAGCAGATTGAAAGGAAGGAGTTTAAGCACACAACCCTGCGGTACTCCAGGCCTCCAGCCCTGCTTCCACCTACAGATCCTCCACTGGACTAGCCTTGAAACAATGGACCAACCATGCCCTCTAAACAACAGACACACCTTCTACATGTTCTGCAGAGACTTCTTCCGTGGTGCAGTTTTGTAGTTTATGTCCTGATTTGATTATATCCGTTCTGAGAGGTGGTCTCTTTGTGATTGAGTGTGGGAACTCTCTGGCTGCAGTTAAAATTGCCTAAAAAGATGTGAAGTTTGAAGGTTTTTTTCCTTTCAAATCGAGTATTTGTTTGTAAGATATTTAGCGTTTCCTTTTGGTCGGAAGGTTTATTGTTTGGTTATATTTATTATAGTTGGACGAAACTTAAGTCACTTTCGTTTTGCCTTTGAGATCTTTTTTTACTTTAAACTTTATAACCACAACATCACCCTAACTGATTACTTCCTCTCATCAGTGGGTGTAAGCTCCCCACATCACAGCTGCTGTGGAAATAAACGTCAGCCAGCCTCAGTTTACAGGCAAAGGGTCCCGTTTGTAGGAAACACGAGCTGGACCACCTCAGTCTTGTTCAGAAGCTAAATCTACATGATAGTCAGGGAAATCATCAAGCGCTCTGATTTCAGTGTTTTCTACTGATCAGTTAGCGGCTTCCAGCAGTCACTGGATTATTTAAGCAATATTTTTGTCAAACTATTGAGCCCACCCTTTTCTCAGATCCGCTGATTGACAGAAACCTCAGCTGCTGCTGTTTAGAAGAACAAAGGAATTAAGCTTTCCTCCCATGATAGAAAGAACCAATGACCTTCCTATGATCGGAGGACACCATGAAAATAAACTCTCTGCTGTGGCTAACCTGTAAGTACAATCTCAGTTGTCTAAATCCTAAAATGTTTATGTTTATTGATTGGATTTTAACATGTTCTACTGGTGTCTTTTTAAATTAGTTTATTTGTATGGAATATGTCATCTTAGGGCACTTTACGGGGCCAATTCAATAGAATTTAGAGTCAGATTGAGTCACTTCGGGTCATTACCTTCGCAGGATTTGCTCCTCCTGGATGATCATGTAGTGACAGTAGACGTTCATGTGCATTATGCTATTCGATCAGTGTGAGCGGCCTTCTCCTGAGGCCAACTGGGTGTTCAAGAAGACAGAAAAAGAAACATTAAACCTCCAAAAGGGTCTCTGTTGAAGAAAGAAAAAGTTATGTTGGTGAACCCTGAGTTGGTTTTATGTCATAAATTATAGAAAAGAGCACAGAAAGTTAGTCACATGCAAGATCAATGCCTAATTTATAATATCTATTTGGAGGTCAAGGGATAAAGAGAAGATTGAGTTGAGAGGTTCCCACTGAAGGCCTGCCACTGCGTAAAGGAAACTTTACTGTTTTATTTACTGTTTAAAGTTGTTTCTGATTAACAGCAGTAAAAAAAGCATGCCAAAGCAACCTTGCTGACTGGACTTTTACTTTAAATGCAGAGGACAGATTTCATTGAAGTGTAGAATTGCAGCGACAAATAAAGGTTTTTATTATTCAAACTGCAGAAGCAGACCGTATGACATCATGCTGACTGTTTATGCTTTAAAACTGTTATTGCTTTTGCCACAAGCATCTCTTTGACTCACAATGTTTCCTAAAGTCAGTTTAAAACTGTGGTTTTCCTGTTTAGCGCTGATGTCACCGCTGAGCTGCAGAGCAAACAAAGGTAGGTAGAGGTTTGCCCTCTTCTCTGGAAGCTGTGTCTCAGTTACAAATACCCACATCCTTTAACACCCTCTGCTCTACCAGGGAAACATCTTCTCACTTGGGTCAAGACTGGAAACTCCCGTTCGTTTTTAAAAGATTTTTAGATTTTATTATTTACATTATCCTGACAACATGTGTTAAATAATCCTAACAACAGTAATAGTGATTATTGGAATTCACTATTAGGAAAAATAAAATCAGCAGAGGTTTATAATCAGAACTGATCAAGTTATTTAGACAAATTCCAAATTTCTTTCATTGTGTTTTCATTTTTAGTATTTTAGCTGATTCTTTCTCTACTTGCTGCTGTTTTCTCTGTTTCTTCTTATTCCTCACCTCTACTGTTTTAGTGTAGTTCAACCACATTAATCAGGCGAACAACATACAGTCTAATTCCAAATGTAAACGTTATTCATTCTGTTCAGAATGCGAACGTGAATAAAATCTGTGGTATGTCTTTAGTTTTTACATTATATTAATAAAGCCTTTGTCTTTGTCTTTGCTCATGCCCCCCCAGCTGGTCTGACTGTGAGTCCAAGCAGATCTCAGTTCTTTGAGGGAGAATCAGTGTTTCTAAGCTGTGAGGAGGGGAGGCACTCTACTGGATGGACCCTATGGAGGAACATCAGCAAAGATAATGGCTCTCAGAGTGATGACTGGGAAGGAAAAAACAGTTCCTCCTGTAAGATCACTCATATCGTCCCATGGGACAGTGGAGTTTACTGGTGTTCGTCCAGAGAGGGAGCAGCCAGCAGCAGCATCCAGCTCACTGTCACTGGTAAGATCAGACTGTGGAGTTAGTGTTGATGAAGCTGTGTGGAAATGGATGAAATGCTGTAGTTTGTCTCTGTGTTGAGGTGGATCAGTGATCCTGCAGAGTCCTGTCCTCCCTGTGATGGAGGGAGATGACGTCACTCTGAGCTGTCTAACAAAGACCACTCCCTCCAACCTCCCAGCTGCTTTCTATAAAGATGGCTCCCTCATCAGGACGGAGCCCAAAGGTCACATGACCCTCCACCATGTGACCAGCTCTGATCAAGGCCTCTACAGGTGTGACATCAGGGGTCATGGAGAGTCTCCATCCAGCTGGATCTCTGTTGAAGGTAAGAAGGTCTTGTCAAATAGCTTCTCTGGCAATATCGTTTCCTTTTGTCTTAATGGTGGAGGTCCACAGGGCTCTGTTTTTGTCACCAATGTATTGGTGTGAAATTTTAATCTATTCATCCATCCATCCAATATCTGACACGCTTGTCCCAATTGGGGCCGTGAGGGGTGCTGGTGCCTATCTCCAGCAGTCAATGGGCGAGAGGCGGGGTCCACCCTGGACAGGTCGCCAGTCCATCGCAGGACAACACAGAGACACACAGGACAAACAACCATTCACACACACACTCACACCTAAAGACAATCTAGAGAAGCCAATAAACCTAACATTCAGGAGGAAGCCGGAGTACCCGGAGAGAACCCGCGCATGCTCAGGGACTCCATGTAGAAAGACCCCGGGCTGGGAATCGAACCCCGAACCTTCTTTTAATCTATTCAATTCAGTTTATTTATTTAATGCAAATGCCCAAAACATGTCATCTCAAGGCACTTTACATTTCAACCAGCTCATCCAGTCAGATTGCTTAAATATTTTCTATCTAAGGAAAACCAGCTGATTGCATCGACTCATTGACTCTTCAGCAATCCCTCACACTAAGCATGCTTGCAGCGACAGTGGAGAGGAAAAACTCCCTTTGAACAGGAAGAAACCTCCAGCAGAACCAGGCTCAGTGTGAGCGGCCATCTGCTGAGGCCCACTGGGGTTCAAGGATAAAAGAAAGCACCTATAATGACTCAAAATAAAACCTAAGCCTATAACTATGTCTATAAGAGAAACAGGACTAAAAATCAACAAAAAATACCCAATTATGTAATCTATAAACAAAGGTGTTGATGGCAGCAGCACAGCTGATATGGGAGAATAGAGATAGAATGATGAAATGGGGGTCCCTATGTCCTCCAGCAGTCTAAGCCTATAGCAGCAGAACTATAGAGATAGCTCAGGATAACCTGAGCCACTCTAACTAGAAGCTTTATCAAAAAGGAAAGTTTTAAGCCTAGCCTAAAAAGTAGACAGGGTGTCTGCCTCACGGACTAAAACTGGTAGTTGGAGCCTGATAACTAAAAGATCTGCCTCCCATTCTACTTTTAGAAATTCTAGGAACCACTAGTAAACCTGCAGACTGAGAGCGAAGTGCTCTGTTAGGAACATCAGGAACAATCAGATCTCTGATATCAGATGGAGCTTGGCCATTTAAGGCTTTATATGTGAGAAGGAGGATTTTAAACTCTAGTCTGGGTTTAACAGGAAGCCAATGACCCACCTCCCTGCCACTTTACAGCAGCTTGGTGTCAGGCTGGATTGTTTTTTACAGAAGGTTGAACCACCTGGAAAACTCACAGCCTTTAATGTAAATTGACCACATTTATAGGTGGAGTAATTAAGCTTTTGACCAATGTGGATGATTTGATCATCTCTGTGCCTTTAGGTGAATTTGGGGCTTTATAAATAAGCTGAATTGAACTGTCTGTGTGAATCTCTGACTTGGTTCCTGTTTGTTTTTAGGAAAAGTCTCCCCTACTGGCCATCCTCATCTCCCTCTGTCCGTGTTATTAGCTGCTGCACCTGCTTCTGTTCTGCTCTTTCTGGTCTTACTGGTCGTTCTGGTGAGACGATGTGTTCAAGGTCAGACATCTTTCCTGGTTTCATGGTTTCTGTGCAGCCAGACCTTCAACTGTCTGTCTGCAGCACATTCCTGTTTCCTATATAATTGACCAGGTTTATTGATAACACTCTGTTTTCTCCTCCAGCTGCTAAGAAGGACGACATCAGCTACATTCAGGTCGACGTCATCAGCCAGAAGAAACCCCCAAAGAGTCAGAGACCTGGTATTTATAATCCAGATTAGCAGCGGCCTGGTTGGTACTAGCAGGTTTACTGCATGCATCTGATCAGTCACGTCTGGATCTGTTCAGGTACTGATCCAGAAATCATCTACTCTGAAGTCAGAAGAACCTGACCCACAGAAGCCATCAGCTGTGGATCCTCTACAGAGTGGACCTGCAGCTGTTTATCTCCTCTGCAGCAGAATGTGGCGGCCTTCAACGAGTCACACTGCTTTGTTCTGTATGTAAAGCGGGTTCACACAACACGCTGATCTGCACATCTTAAAAAAAAGGATTTAAGTTCAATTTCTACACTTATTTTTCATGAGAACATTAATTTTATGCAGTAATTATATTTAATATGGCTCTGTTTGTTGCTTTGCTACATGTAACTTTATTGCTTTCCATTAAGTTAATAAAAAATGTAAAAAAAAAAAAAAGATGGAACATAAGCTTTATCTGTTTTATAAACTGATGGTGTTTCAATAGATATCAGAGCAAATCGGGTTTAACGCATCAAAACTTTTAACGGGGCACCAAACAAATCCAACCTGAAACGTGCAGAGATCTCAGATCTTCTGGACTTTCTGTGTCCAACAGAAGAAAATGTGTTATGGTTGCCGTAGCAACAACACAGAGAGCACCTTTGGTTCAGTTTGGAAGGTCTTTGGTTTTTCTCTGCGGTTGTAAAGAGGAAGACCGTCGTGGTTTCACTATGTTGTCAGGTCAATAAGTAGTCTGGGTCTGGTCTTGGGTTCAAAAGAAGTAGGTCAGGTTTTATGTAAACGTTTAGACAACCAGAGGAACCACACTGAACTTAAGCCGGTGTTCTGTCAGACCAACATACCCATAGGCCCCGTCCATAATGAAAAAAACAAAAATCATGAAAGATGATCTATCATCGCCAAATCCCAGCTATGTGTTAATGAATGGAAGCTGTTGTGAATTTATTTTATCCTTGTGCAGACTTAACAGGTTGACCATGATTTCAACTTGAATCGCTCTGACACAGGGACGATTGGCCGTGTGTTCGCAGGCAACATGTAACAATCAGAAAAATGTTTGCCTAACACAGCTCAGTTCTGTATCCTAACCTCTGCTGTTGCCGGCCTCTCAGGTTCCTGCTTAGTTGGCATCATGCACCACTTCATTGGTACCCAAGCAACCTGCCTTGCAGGCGTCTAATGCCCCATTAACACTACCCTTTTGAAACCATGCAGAGAGCGGACCGAGCATGGTAACTGAGATAACTGTTGAGTACAAATGGAACACAAACTTAACCGGACAGTTCCAGACCCAACCAAACCACGCTGAACTGGTACTATTTCATCAGCAGGGCTCGACGCCGTTCAGTTCTGGCTTGGTTCTCTGATAACAAAGAGCGCATGAGCAGACCGCGTCATTTCCTTACAGTCAGCTTCCAGTAGTTGGCAGTAATGCACATCAGTAAGTCGCTTGCCAACCACCATAAAACAGAAGAAGAAGAACTGTAAACAACAATCGAAGTCGTTTGTCATGTTCACTCTGTCAAGTAAATTCACCAAAGGCTGCCCTCTTTGCCTGACTCTCCTCCAACAACGAAATAACACAATCATAACCAGACATAACTTCCTGAATGTTACGGGCGTCGCCATTTTGATTTGCTTGAGTCCCTCCTTCAACAGAGGGCAGTAGTACCGTAGGTCACTAGGAGATGGGGAACCGTGCTAGTGCGATGTGTAAACGCTCGTAAGGAACTGAACTCAGCACAGTGAACTGATCGGAGCTCGATCCGAACTCGGCACGGATTGGTTTCAGAGGGTACTGTAACCGGGGCTTAATCCTCCTGGAACGACCTCAATGTTTGTGTTGTAAGGTTTATATCTATTTGTCCATGTGTGTCCCCTTAAAACCCAAACAAATTACTTATTGGTGTAAAACACTCCCACTGAGCGAAAATTGGTTGAAAACGCATTGAAAAGACGACATAATTTACGTCCAAATGGAGTCTACATTTGATTGAAAACTAAAAGGTGAAAAGCAATAATTGTACGATCGTTGAAAAGATCGTAAAATTAAAAACTGGGTTTGCAACTTCTTTTATTGGACTAAAGTGGGACCAAATTAGACGGACCAAACAGCCCAATTTTTTTTATCAACTTTCTGGACTAAATCCAGACTATGATGGACCAACCAGATTTAGACCAAAAACAACAATGCCTAAATAACGTCTGAAGTTTTCGGGGGGGCTATCCTGGCAATAAAGCTTTTTTTGATTCTGATGCAGATCTAGAAAACCCAAAATGATGTATGAACACAAGTATGTGTGCTAAATCAGCCCTGTAAGGCTGAGCTGGCCTCTTTAATCCAGGCCTAAATGGATCTGACAATCATTTTGTGCTGGAGATGCACACGCACGGCTTTGACGCTGATGCTACCTCATTAATAAATAGGTTGCTACTGTGTAGAAACGTGTGAAAATGGTTTCCGGTTTCCTCAGACCTAACAGGAATTCATAAATCTAATCTTTTCTCCGTTGTTTTTTCCTCACACTAGTGCTGGATGTTTTATTTCTCAATGGCTGAAATTTGCTGTAAAGTCACCAAGCACAAACATGTCCATACATCTGTGAATGAATGGAACCCGGTCCATTTGGATCAGTGTCCACCTTTTTCCTGCTTTATAATATTTTATCTAGTAAGGTTTTGCAGGGGAAAATGAGATGTTAAAACAAACAGCACTGATGTGACGGGTCTTCTACTTTGACTAAAACAAGACGTCTTAGCAATAACTCAGCATGTAAAAAACAAAATCAATTAAGCATGAAGCCGACTCGTTAGTTTAGTAGGAGTTTCTCAGGGAGAAGCAGCTGCTCAGGTCAGCGGGGACCAACAACAGGATAAATAAAAACATCTCTGGATCGTTGGCTTCCTGTCTGCTGCTTCAGAGCTTCCAGTTATCTGTTCTGTGGTGAGAACAGCAGGAACTTTGCTTCTCCTGATAATTAAAGCCAACATCACACCCTGATGGAGCTTCCCAGGACAACGGGTATAAATAAAAACCCAGCTGAAGACGAGGAGCCTTATCTCACTTCCTGCTGCAGCAGCAGCTGTCTGTCAAACTGCCTGAACAGAAACAGGATTCAGACTCTGCTGAGGTTCTCCTCAGACTCACAGACATCTGCTCTTCATGAGGATCTCCTTCAGCATGAGGCTCTCCTTCCTCCTCTTCCTCCTCCTCCATGGAGCCGTGGCCTCAGTGCCTGGTTGTCATAGCGACGGGGATAAGGACCAACGGGCCAGGGAGAACTGCACAGGAGCCGGATTCAGTGACATCCCAGCAGGACTGGAACACACGACCCAGGTACCGTGACCCGGTTCCTTCATGAAGATCAGAGGCTTCAAGCATTTTAGAACAAAATGACTGTTTGTTAAACTTTTCCTGTATAAAATGATCACCGCCAAATGTTCTAGTATCTGTGGAGGAGCTGAGACCTCTGATCTAATCCTGCTTTCATGTGCGGTTCTAGACGGGCCAACCGGGGCCAGTGCCCCTGTAGATCATGTCCTGGCCCCTGTTATGGCTCCTGTACTGGAGACATAACACATTTTTTTCCTTTGTAATATATGTTTTACTAACTATTTAAAAACAATAAGGTGATAGCTTCCGTGGTATTGAGATTGGATCCCAGTTTTCATCTGATAAATGTCTTTTTTAAAAACAAATAAAAAAATACTATTGAATTTATCAGTTTTTCTTGAGTTATAATTCAGATTTTGTAAAAAAAACTGTAATTTTAACTTAAATCAAGTCAAAAGAATATGTAAAATTTCTAAAATACAAATGTATATTGACCTAATGAGACATAGAATTTTAATTAAACCTAATTAAATAGAAATTTCACTTCATGCAGTTATATTAATATATTTGAATCCTTTGCCCTGTTTTTTACTTCATGCTTTTGTGCTCCCATGAAAACACGCTGGCCCCCTCCTGGGCCCCTGGTTCATTTAGTCTAGAACCGCCACTGCCTGTTTTACTTTGTTTGGAAGGGTTTGTTAGGTTTATGCTTTATACATCATGTGCATTTTTACTTTGCTAGCCGGATTAGAGAGAGTAGAAGGCCTTCCTTCACATTGTGGATGTCACTGTGTGTACGGAGGTCATCTAATCAGGACAGCCTTCATATGCCTTTAAAAGTACACAGGATATGGGAACATCTTGGAGCCGGACTGATAGAGGAGAGCTATCTGTAATCCTTGGACATGGATGGCATGTCAGTTTCTGATACGGAAAACCAAGCATCCACCTGGGGCAACACATAGACTCATGAGCTATAAGAAGGAGAAGATGGCCTTGTTCGGGGCTCAATCTTTGCAGGACGCTCGCAGATGTGATTTTTGAGCCCACATCTGTGCTAGCTCCAAGCATTTTCTCTGTCCTGTAACGACCTGATCTGAAATAACTTTGTTACTTTTTTACTCCTGTTTTATAGTCCTTTTTACATGTTATCACCCAGTTTGAGTTAAGAGTAGTAAATAACTTGCTCCTAGGAAAAGAACCGTGAGGAAGCCCCAAGGCACAACAGCTTTTTTAAAGGGGACATAACTTCCTCATTTAACAGGTTTGAATTGACGTTCTGAGTCAAGTTTAAACCTTTTATCTGAGCTGTGAGGACTTTTCTCAGTGAACCTGACCTAAGCAAACAGACATGATGAGATCTCCAGTTTAACCATCATGGAACCAAAGACTTGAAATGCTGGGAGTTGCTAACAGACGCTCTGCTGGGAACAGATAGAAATTCTGAACCTTCTCACAGTAATCTTTTTAATTACTTTATTTCTTCAGGTTCTACTGTTTCCACACAACCTGTTCTCCTCTCTGTCCTGGACCTCCTTCCAGATCTTTACAGAGCTCTATGAGATCGACCTAACAGCCAACAAGGTCTGTGGTACCAGGTGAACATTGTTAAATAGTAGATCTGAGATAAATGTATGAGGCAATGCGTGTCTCGTTCTCCAGGTTCCAGAGGTGACCCCCAGTTCTGGTCCTATCCTGCGGGATCTGAGTGTGCTGCGGCTGGGCTCCAACCGCCTGACGTTCCTCTCAGATGGCTCCTTCACAGCCTGTCCTTCTCTGACTGAACTTTACCTGGAAAACAACTCCATTGCATCTCTGACCGACCAGACCTTCTCCGGGCTCAGTAAGCTGGAGGTCAGTGGGTGCGAGTGGCCATACAAACAGTCAGAAAATGATGAGAGATGGAACTCCTGTTGGGCCTTATGGAGACAATGAACTGAAACCTGTGTGTTTATCCTGTAGATTCTTGACCTGACCGGCAATCAGATCTCCAGACTGCCTGATCTCATGCTTCACCCTCTGCCAGCCATAGAAACTCTGTACTTGGAGCAAAACAAGGTCGGCGGCTAGACTTCAGTGATATGTACGGTTCCTGATGATGAATCCTCACTCTGTAGGACATGTCTCCCTTCCTTCTTAGATCAAGGTGATGCCTGATAATTGGTTCAGCCCTAGAGAGGATGTTCCATACCTCTACCTCTCAGAAAATCCCTGGGTCTGCTCCTGTTCCCTCGGTTACTTACGCAGATATCTGGATGACTATGAGCTCAACTTCTACGTCCGAGATGGTCCGATCATTAAGGTGGATCCAGAGAGCCTGGTAACTGACATTTTTCATCTTCCATTATTGAATAAGTTGAGTTCCTTGTGCTGGAAGAGAATCTGGAAAGCAGTTGCTGATGTTGTAGACTGTGATTCATTATTCTCATATTGACTTGAGTTTTATTCAAGGCTGGACTGTTTTGAATACGCAAAGAATAACAGGGAAACTCGATTGTTCAAGAGACAGATCTGATCACGACACATGAGAATTTGTTGTAAGAATATGATATTATAAAGAAAATTACTTATTGTCATGAAGGGGCCTTTATTTAGCCACAATGGTCCCACTGAGATTCAGCAACTATTCTTCCAGGGAGGGTTAGTCATGATGCTGTCAGCCATTTTTTAGGGTCAAAGCTACAGCAATCTCCTCAGGGAAAGTAGACATATCCAACCCAGATGCTGGGTAAGGTAGTTCTTGCTCTTGCTTTGACACACCTGTAATGTTTGTCTGTTTCCAGGTGTGCGATTCTCCACAGGAACACCAGGGGAAACCTGTGTTGTCTCTAGAAGAATCAGATCTATGCCCAACTATAGATGAACTGGAATCACCAGGAGACTTCTACGTTCCAATAAACGCAGCACCAAATAATCCTTCTACCCCAGAACCTACAACTTATCTCCCTCCAGTGGTTTCTTCCACTAATGATCCCACAACCTCTGAATACATGACTACTTGGTTTCCAGAGTTGTCTGCAGACTACACCAGGGTGGTGACATGGTCCTGGTATCAAACCTTCACCAGTCTCCTTGAATGGTCGTATCATTCCGGGTCTGAAATAAGAAAGGAAACTTTGTTTGTCAGGTCGGTCGCTCAGACCACAGATTTGATTCCTAAGACTTCCAGATCTTCAACATCAGCGTTTATATCAACCACAGATATTCCTTCAGCCATTCTATCAACAACTGTCCAGACTGTCCCAACGGATCCAACAACTGAGACAATTACGGAATGGATTCCCACTCTGGTTTCATTCCCCTCTCCCGTCATCTGGCGGAAATTTAAAGTAAATTCTGCAGGAGGTGGAGGGGTGTTCTGTATCTGGCTGTTTGCAGGATGTCTGCTGCTTTGCGTGGCCTCAGCAACGTGCATCCTGGTGACTGTGATGAATATGCTCATCTGGTACAAAAAGGTCTACAAGCCGCTGAGCCTCGCATTACAAAGGAGGGTGAGAAGCAGGGAAGGTGTAGCTCTGTTAAGCAATGCAGTGCCGGTAGATAAAGGAGTGGTGGTGCACTATCAATCTTTGCTATTTGTCCACAGAGAGGGGGGAGACATAGTTGAGGGGGACAGGAGAAACCAAGGACAGATTATCACTATAAACTTGACAGCAGGAGAAGAGACAGGAGATGGAAAGGGGGCCGATGGCAGAGGAGTGTACAGGAAGACAATGTACCGCCTGTTGAGCAGAGAGGAGGAGATAGACGGGTGGAGGGAAGTTGTGGAAGAATGTCAGGTGTCTGCAGAAGATGGAGGCAAAAAAACAGGAATCAGGATGGAGAGGGAGCCGAAAGGAGATGCAGGAGGAGTCTCCAAAAAACGGTACAGCGTTATCCTGCGAGAGGAAAGGGAGGAGGCGGAGGGAGGGCGGGAGGAGCTAGACTGGGTGGTTGGTGGCTGGGAGGTGAAACGAGGAGCAGAGGAGGTTCCAAGGAGCAGCTGGGGGGAGTGGCTGGCAGAATATTTACCCAGCATGCCATGGGGCCTAACTGCCCCTTCTGAGGAGGAGGCAGCAGCTAAGTGATGATACAAGTTGGATCCCTTTACTGTTTTATTTACTGTTTAAAGTTGTTTCTGATTCACTGCAGTAAAAAATGCATCCAGATGTCCTTTAAAGTCCAGTCATATTCAGAATACAAACTTCTGAAAGTACTTTAAAGATGAAATTATTCCAACCTGCTCAATAAATGATCAGTGTTTTTAATTAAGAGTAATTTTCATGTGAATGTGCTTTACTGGAGGCATCCATGTTTGTCAAAGAACACTACTGCCACCTACTGTTGATCAAGTCCCAGTGCTGTATCTGGTGTTTGTCACAACGCGCTATTATCCAAGTCATCTTGAAAACATTCTTCTTCCAAATGTTGGCTACATATTACGGGTTTTTTCTCTGGCCAGAAGTTCGATGGCAAATCCTCCCTCTTCAAGTTGGCGATCCAACGACCAACCCGTCCGCGGAGGATCAGGAATCAGAAAGGTGGAATAACTCTTTTTTTCACTTTTCCCAGATGTATTCCAGCATCCAGCTGCCATGCACGTGGGCATTGTCAGTTTCACTATAGCTCTGGTGAATTTCAATGGTGAAGTCCTCTGGAAATCTTCAATAATTGTTGTTGATTGCAGATGTGTCTAGTAGTTCCCATTGATTTAGCTTGGAAAGCGGGGAGAATGGCGCTAGGCTTACCGCACCGTGACGTCACTGCTGGAAGATGGCAGGAGGGAGGGGCTACTATATTTGGGCAAAAATGGCTGCTTCCAGACTAAGTGATTGCAACAAAAATGATTGCTTTTATTTCTTTACTGATTAATGCTAAATTTATTAAATCCCCGCGAACGTATTAGCTTTAGGTATAAATAATGATCCATGGATTATCACTTGCTTTCTGGACTTTTCCTTTAAGAATTACTCAGGAGAACACGATTTCTCACCATGCCCTGAATCAACATTTAGTCTCCATCTTATCTCTGCAATGTGTGTCTCTATGCAGACGATACCATATTGTAACTCCTAAAACAATCTTTGCTTCCAAGTTAAAAGATGTTATATATATATATATATATATATATATATATATATATATATATAGTAGTCACACAGCTCAGTAGGATCAGAGGTTCCAAAAGTATTCATGTTTATTACTTCAGTATATATTCTGCTGTTTACTTTTGTAAAAGCTAGAGGATTAAGTTAAGTTTTTGACTCCAGTAAAATTGTAAAAGTACAGTTTCTAAAACTACTTAAAGTGTAAAAGTAAAAGTAATGCAGGTAAAAAAAGTGTTAAGGACAGAAGCTTTAGTGCTCTACCCTGTTAAAGGGACATTTTTCTACAGTTCTGGATAATAACTTCCTTAGAAATTATTTTATTAGTTTTACAGAGATGGGAAGTAACAAAGTACAAATACTTCGTTACTGTACTCAAGTAGATTTTTCTGATATTTTTACTTTACTTTACTACTTATTTTTATGGCGACTTTTTACTTCTACTCCTTACATTTTTACACAAATATCTGTACTTTCTACTCCTTACATTTTAAAAAATTGTCTCGTTACTTTAGTTTTGAATCATTTCAATGGAGTTACCGTTATTATTTTTCACGTCATCAATACCAAATTCAATCTAATTGGATGGGAATCTACGTTGCATTTGACGCACCACTACAAGATGAATCGACAGATTCGGCGGTATTCATTGGCGGCAAATCATTGCAGCTTGGTGGCGGTGGCGTTAGCATAGTAGCATGGACGACGAGATGATTGAAAATGAACACAACGGATATCTAGTCCTATTGGCAGACATCCATTTAAAATGTAGGCAACGGCATGAAAAAAGTGGTTTCTACTTTTACTTTTATACTTTAAGTAAATTTACAAGCCTGTACTTTGTTACTTTTATTAGAGTAAAGAAGTTTAATCAGTACTTCCACTTTTACCAGAGTATTTTTTAACACAAGTATCTGTACTTTTACTCAAGTACGGAAAGTGAGTACTCTTGCCATCTCTGTAGTTTCATAACTAATGGTAACAGTGTCACATTTAACTTTGCAGCATCTGGAAAAACTGTTCAAGTTACACACAAATAAACTGTCTGGAAAAAACGAATTATTTTGATGGCTTTTATTTTCTTTTTATAATGAAAATGAGCTTAAATGAAACATAACCGATGAGTCTATTTTTAAAATGGAAGGAGAAGAAAGTAGAGATATTTGTAAAAATAATGTGAGGAGTAGAATTAAAAAGTTGTCTAAAAAAATAATTACTCCAGTAAAGTATATATAGCCAACATTTCAACTTAAGTAAAGTCTGTTACGTGATACCTGTGAGTATAATAGACCCACTGCAGACCTGCAAAGATGTGGACGTCTACAGACTGAGAGGCTGAACAAAGACAGTAATAAACCCAGGAGCAGCAGGAGGATCATGGGGACTAACCCCATCAGACACATTCAGTGATTAGCTTCCAATTTATCAATACATCTGTTTTAGTTCATCCTGTTTTTCATAGATTTTCCACAACAGCACCTCAGATATATTTTACTGAATTTCTATGTTTATAGGTTATATTGACACGTGAGTTTAAATCAGACAAACAACATAAAATGCAAACAAGATAATGCAGGAATCTTAATCTTAAATACTTGAATAATCCCAGAGGGAAATTACTTTTGTTACGTGCTCCAGATATATAAACATTTCTATTAATAAATATATATATATATATATATATATATATATATATATATATATATATATATATATATATATATATATATACATACAACAAAACACACAAGATAATATAAATATAAATTTATACACATATAACTCTTCTTCTGGACTTTGTGTAAAACTGCAAATATAATGAAAGCTGAAAGACTTGAGATCAACAGAGGAGGCAGAATCAGCTGTGGTGTAAATCAGAAAACTGTCATTTCTGGTTTGGATCAACAGCATTCACATGACCATAGATTGTAATTTTAATATAGCGCCCCCTGCTGCTTGGATGCAGAAACTTCAGAAGTTCTCTGGATGTCTCAGCAGGAAAGATCAATAGAGGCCGGGGTCTACCGTGTGGTAGACCCCGGCCTCTATTGATCTTGTATTGAGTGCCTGTTCTTATGCATGAAATATGCATAAAAAATGTTTCTAAACCATGTTCTCATGTCTTCACAATACTAAAACTTTTCTACAAATCATACAGGAGAACGGCTTCTCACTTGTAATTTTTCTAATGTGCATATTAAGATTACGCTTTTCATTGAAGCTTTTCCCACAGGACAGCCATTCATAAATCTTCTCAACTGTATGAATGTTCATGTGTGTGATCAAATGACTTTTTTGAGTAAAACTTTTGCCACAATTTGTACAGGAGAACAGCTTCTCACCTGTGTGAATTCTGATGTCTGCTAAGATCGCATTTATCAGTGAAGCTTTTACCACAGGACAGACATTCGTAAGGCTTCTCGCCTGTGTGAATTCTAATATGAACCATTAAATTGTCTTTTTTTAGAAACACTTCTCCATATGTCAAACACATTGCACAGTGTACGCCCGGCTTAACTAGAAGCTTTATCAAAAAGGAAAGTTTTAAGCCTAGCCTTAAAAGTAGACAGGGTGTCTGCCTCACGGACTAAAACTGGTAGTTGGTTCCACAGGAGAGGAGCCTGATAACTAAAAGATCTGCCTCCCATTCTACTTTTAGAAATTCTAGGAACCACTAGTAAACCTGCAGATTGAGAGCGAAGTGCTCTGTTAGGAACATAAGGAACAATCAGATCTCTGATATCAGATGGAGCTTGGCCATTTAAGGCTTTATATGTGAGAAGGAGGATTTTAAATTCTATTCTGGATTTAACAGGAAGCCAATGAAGAGAAGCCAGGATAGGAGAGATATGATCTCTCTTTTTCATTTTCATCAGAACTCTGGCTGCAGCATTTTGGATCAGCTGAAGGCTTTTAACTACAGTTTGTGGACTTCCTGATAGTAAAGAATTACAATAGTCCAGCCTTGAAGTAACAAATGCATGGACTAGTTTCTCAGCATCACCCCTGGACAGGAGATTGCTCATTTTTGCAATATTCCTCAAATGAAAGAAGGAAATTCTAGAAACCTCTTTGATATGGGATTTAAATGACAGGTCCTGATCAAAAACAACACCAAGATTTTTTCACTTTATTATCTGAAATCAGTTTAATCCCATCCAAATGAAATGTCTTGTTTT